GCTTGTTTGATTTTTCATTCCCTCCAGGAACTGCTTGAGAAGCAAGTTTGAAAACGGTTTCTATTCTTGCAAGTATAAAACTTGCTTTTTTTCGAAGCGGGGTAGGAGGAGGAGGAGGAAAGAGGCGCAAAATAACAAGCAGTTTATTCGCCGATTATATCAGTAGCATGGAATTTCCTGAGCAAATCGCTCGCCTCCATCCAGTTTGTTCACTTAGGTCTGCTGATTTTCTGTTGAGAATTCTAGTATATCATAGCGGTTTTTTATGCCACTAGTAATATTGCATCAATAAGCAAACCTTTTTCAGCATGTACATAATTTTTTTTTCATTATTGTACTTTTCAAAAATACTACACTTACTTTAATACTTTGACCAGCTACAGTCCAAAGCGTTGTCCTCTAAACAGGCAACCTTTCAAGTTTCTTTGACTAATGCTTCATCGCCTTGTGGACAGCACATTAGCTATTCTGACGTTTGTTTTGTCTGCTGAAGACATTCTAGCTTAGCGATTGAAAGAAACACTTTGGCAAAGATTCTGCGAACCTTTAGGACTTTGAATAAAATTTCAGACTTTTTCATCATCGGAAGTAAGTCAAGGAATGATGAGCGGAAATCCACTTCCCGAAGCGACGAGTTCACACGATGCATCTCTAGGAGTTGCAGAACCACCACCGCCACCACCGCAACCACCGCAACCACCATCATTGCCACCAGCAGCACCACTAGCACCACAACCAAGAATAATACCATCGATTGGCATCCATAACGATCTGGCTAATTTGAGCAGTCTCACGATTTTCCAGCAAGCGTGTATAGCTCATATGCAGGACTTGGAGGTTCATATTTTTTTGATTACAATTAAATAAAGCATCGGAGAATTTACGTATTTTAATATGGTATGAAGAGTACTATTGAAGCAGTATAAATAAGAAAGGAAACCCAAATTGAAGGGTGTGACAAGAATGACAGACAACAAATGGACAAAATGAAATGATGGATGCTTCCCATTTTAACAGAGGAGGAGTTTTCAGAACAATTCACTTGAACTTTCGGAAAGGGTTGATGAGGCGAGCGCTGTAAATGCAGTTGACCATTAGAGAATTGACCATTTTGTACGGGCGGTCGAAGGAGACGGCGATGGAGTATCAATGTACCTGAATATTTGGGACAATTGTTAACTCATGGTCTGGATCTGCATCAGTGTGACTGTCAGATTTTTGCATTACGAAAGTAAAATATTCATCACTCAACTAATAAATGCGTTCAAATAGCGTTTACTGATTTGAAAAATTTTTGCAGAACAAATTACATGCACTGGAAATGTGGCGTTTTTCATGCGCACACTGCAAGATGGCGTTCCAGGATGAGCCGCTTTACCATATCCATATGGGCTATCATGGCTATGAAAATCCGTTCAAATGTAACCGTTGCGGCCAAGCGTGTTCCGATTTTCTGACTTTCAACTTACATCTGTTACAAGCAAAACATTGAACTTGAATGTTACGGTAGGCGTCAGTTACCGTAGGCTTTATTTTACTGTAGGGCCATCTACAGCTGCTCGGCCTCATTTTTCATTTTCATACATATGGTTGCTGTTACAAGAACAATTTGTTGCTTTTAGCAAACGAATTTTCATTCAATTTTTTTTCGTACTGCCATCATTTAGGCATCAATAGTCTTTATCTGTTTTTTTTTTCAAAATGAAATTTGATTTTTTATGGTACCAAAAAGATTGGGTTAAATTTTACTGTCATCTAAATCTCTCTCGGGAAATTCGAGAACAAAGCGTTTGTAGACAAAATGCAAATTTAAAATAGCATTTTGTCATTCTTTCTACTGCTTGAATC